ACCTCCCAAAAGGCCGATTATAACAACAAATATTGTCCTTGTCCTACCTGCCATCAAAAAGTTTGTACAAAAAACTGTCCAAACAAGTTTACTGAATTTACTATTACTATATTAAAATAAAAAGGTTTTTGGGATATTTGCTTATTGACTTATACAATTATTTGATATTTCTGGGAAACGAGAATTTGATAATAGTTGTAAGAAAATGTATAAATATCAATATGGCATGGTGACTCATGACCTTAGTTAGGTAACTTTTGTTCATAATTGATTATCTTACATTTTAAAGAACGGAATTCTAACGTATTACAATATAGATTATGAAAAATATCAAGGTAGCGAACGCACACATTATGCTAATGTAGATATAAATTTTTTAATCGTAGCTCTCAGTATTATACATCAAGGCTCACCACCACATGCTTGAAATTTAAAAAGGGTGCAATTATTATGTTAATAAGAAAACTTAAGTTTATTACTCAATGGTTTGTGCAATAAAACAAGACTTCGCAGGATTAAATTGTTTTAACGTAACCTTGAAGCAGTAATAGTGAGTATTAAATAATCGCGGGGAACAAAGTCTTCATAGGTACTAAAGATTACATCAAATACAAGTATTAATCTACTTTTATCGTTCGTACAGGAAACAATTTCCTTTGGTTTTAGTTCTTTCCATGACACTTTATACATCACAAGGTCAAAATTTTGATAAATTATGATATTCGCATGAAATACTATTATTTTCTTACTGTCAACCTTATGTATTGCATTCAAGATTTGTGAATCTTTATAATATATGTACACAAAATAATTATGAAAACTAGTCAACGATTAAAAATGTAGTAAGAAACAAAATATTTTTTATAAGTATTAAGAATTGAAAATTTTTTTTTTCTAGTAAGCAGCCACAGACAATTCTTAATCTAATGAGATTGCTGTTTACACATGATCGAACGAAAAATTTCATTTTCCACATTACACTTTTCAGAGTATTTTTTTCACAAAGAGTATCCACAAAAATCTTGCTGTTGCTTGAAATATGTCATTATTTACAAAATAGTAAAAAAATTATTAACACCAATGTCAATTTCTAGAAATAAGATAAATGTATCATGTTAATGAAGTGATAATTCAAATGATAATTTTAGTATGTTTTGTTTGGTATTTTTATCATGTTGTCATAAATTATGATTGATTTTTCTATTTTAACTACTACAATAAACGATATCGGAGAAGTGTCAAGACAGGAGACAGGGGGCTACTTTGAATGTGAGCAGAGGCCTATGGTGGTGCAAAGGGGCGCTTTATTTCCGTAGGATGTTTTTGTTGGGTTAATTTTAAAAAGAAATTTTTAGTTTTTCCCATATTAACGAAATGGGCCCTTGGGGCTTCCATCAAATTCTAATTGTTTGCAAAATGTTAAACACATTTTTTGCTGGAAAATCCATAGCACGCGTAATAATTATGATTATAATTTTCTTTTCCAAAGTAAATTGTACAAGCTCTCTTATTGATATCAAATTTTTACACAATCGATAGTCATTTTGATAATCTGAATTTTATGAAACAGCACACATTTTGATCTTGAAAAAAAGTGTGACGGAAGTGGATTTTGCTTGATTCTCCCCCCATCATCCTCGTCCCCCGTGACGTAACTCCGATTTTCTCTACACCACCTGACACCTCATCACATCACCACACCACACGATTTGAATTTTATGAATTTTATTTCTTGTCCTTTTAACAAATCTTGATTTGAACCCCCAGACCTTCTGCGTACGAGTCAAGGCCCTTATTCACTCTATTACGAAAAGTCTCAATAAATGAAATTGGATTCCTGTATGTTATTTTGTAGTTCGTAACTTATTTTGTACGTAAATTTTTAGAAAATGTATATTTATTTATTTTGATTAGTTATAATTTAAATAACTAAAAAATTTACTAAATAAAATAATTTTTTTTAAAACGTTTTTTCAGAAAACTTGAAAATTATTATACTTCAGCAAAGCACCTTTTCAATTTATTACTGAATATTCATTTTTACTATATACTTAATTTGTTACTTTTACGGAAAATGAATAATTTTTTGTACAATTTTTTATTGTGGACAGTGATTTTTCCTCATGTAGATGTGACCTTGTCCTCTTCGAGCGCGAATTTCCTTCGAGAGTGAGACAGTGCGTAGCGTGGTGAGAGATATAACCTCGAATAAAAGGCTCTTTTTTCCGTGTGTGAGTTGGAGCCAGCACATGCCAGTGGAAACCCGAAGTCTAGGGTTAGGGCGTTCACGTGGCCGCGGGTCAACTAGGCCTGGAAGTGAGCAGTCCCCTCCGGTCGAGTCGGATAATGCACTCGTGGTGGCATTGTCTTTTCAGGTCCGCCATACGTCCCGAGTGCCTCTACTGTCAACCAACATCACAGTGCGGCACCCCTACATTTATCGGGACGAGGAAGACCTTGCCGGTTTCGACCTGCTACCGTTTTCTCCGGCGCCCGGAGGGCCCCTCCACGGCTTTGGAACTTAGGCCGTCCCGTACATCTTCGGCACGCCGCAGGAGGTGTTAGAGAACAACACGCACGAGGGGGGAGAGGCCCAAAATACCGCGCCCCCTTCCGCATATACAAGATAATCCGATAATTTCCGATCCAGCAGACCCAACAAAATGAAGCCGAGATGAGCAACAAGCTCAGCATGCTGCCCTTCTGGCGCGACCAGCCACACATCTAGTTTATTCAAATAGAAGGCATTTTCGCTGCCAACGGCGTAACAGACGACGCCCAAAAATTATACCAGGTGCTTGGCATGTTGGACAACCAGATAGTGAGCGAGGTGGCTGACCTGCTAGATCACCCACCAGATGCTGATAAATACAAGTCGTTGAAGAAGCAAATACGTAAATGGACCACAGACTCCGACAAAACAAAGCTACACAACCACCTTACGAACTTGGAGCTGGGGGACATGGAGCCGTCACAGCTCTGGCGCAAGATGAAGTCCCTTGCGGGCTCTCGCATGCAGGACGACGCCCTGCTGGTCAAATGGAAATCACTGCTCCCGTTAAATGCTCAAAACCTGTTAAAGATTTTCAGGTCAAATAACACGGACGAGCTTCTTTCAGCGGCAGATGAAATCATGGCCAACAGCATCGGAGGCGTCATGGCAGTGAGCAGATCGGCCTCTGGGAGCGGGTTTGTCGAGCGCCTAAGAGCGGTGGAGGCCGCCTTGTCTTAGCTGGCCCTTAGAGTCCGCCCAAGCAACATCCAACAACCCGGACGTCAGGGGCGCAGCCACTCGCGTGCACGATTACAGCGCAGAAACCGCGGACGCAGCCGGTCAGCCACTCCAAACCAGGAGTGGTGTTAGTATCACACGAAGTTTGGAGCCAAGGCGCTTAACTGCGAGCAGTCCTGCACGTACTCGGACGACTTGGGACAGCAGGGAAACCAATAGGCCCCCCCTCTGCCACAGGTGTCGGAGGCAGGGCCTCATCTAGACAAACGTCTGCACATCCGCGATAGGCGAAGCAACATCACTTTCCTCGTGGACACCAGCTCTGTTGTTTCAGTTCTGCCACTACACTCGGTCAAGGAGAGCCTCCAACAGCAGAGTTTTGTTTTGCATGCAGCCAACACCATGCCCATCAGTACCTTCGGCCGCAAACAGCTCTCGCTGAACCTTGGCATGAGGCGAGACTACATCTGCGACACCATCATTGCAGATGTTCCACATGCCATTAGGCGCGGACTTTCTTTTGAAGTTTGGCCTCTTGGTGGACTTAGAGAGCGGCGGTCTCATAGAATCAACAACAGGACTGACGACTCATGGAACATTCGCACCGGCACAGCTGCACTCCGTGTCGACCATAGCGCCCATTCTACCAACCAACGACAGCGTGTTGGCACGTGAGTATGCCACCCTGTTTAAGGAATTCGCCGATGTTTTCAGCCCAAACACCAGCCCAATACAAGTACCCGGTTAGCCAGTCAAACACACCATCTCTACCACCAGGCCACCCGTCTTCGAGCGCCCCCGCAGGTTGATCGACGATAGACTGGCCGTGGCTAAAAAAACATTTGCCAAGCTGCTAGATAAGGGCATGGTTCAGCCGTCTTCAGGCCAGTGGGCCAGCCCACTTCACATGGTGCCCAAGAAGGATGGCACGTAGCGCGTTACCAGTGACTATCGCCGTCTGAACGTTATCACCATTCCGGATCGGTACCCGCTGCCAGTAATTGAAGATTTGCTGCAAGAAAGTGAAGGCGAAATTTTTTCCACGATCGATTTGCTCAAAGCATTTTATTAAATTCCAATAGCTAAAGAGGTTGTTGAGAAAACAGCAGTGACCATACGATTTGGCTTGTTCGAATTTTTAGGTACTTCTCTGGGCCTCAGAAATGCTGCACAATCGATGCAGAGAACGATGGACCATATTTTGCGCAAGCTGCCCTTTGCAAAAGGGTACGTCGGCGATATTTTTATTGTATTCAAGGACCACAAGCAACACCTGGATCACTTGTGACAGCTGATGGAAACCATGCGGAAAGCTAAACTACATGTAAATCCAAAAAAATGCTCCATAGAGCAACCGCAGGTCGTCTACCTCGGCTATGAAGTCTCCAAGGAAGGTTTCCAGCTACTGGCTGGAAAAGTAGAAGCCGTTAAGGCTTTTTCCAAACCGGACACGACATCAGAGTTGTGCTGTTTCCTCGGCGTCATCAATTAGTACAGGCGTTGTACGCCACATGCTGCCGAGTTACAAGCGCCGCTCCACGACCTTCTCAAAGGTCTTCCTAAGAAGGCCAATCTATCTTGGACACAGGAAGCTGATGCGGCCTTTCAAAAATGCAAGGACAGCATAGCAAATACCACGTGTACAACGTTTTATCGCCCAAAAGCGCCGTTGGCGCTCAGAACGGACGCGTCGGATACTGCAGTTGGGGTGGCACTGGAGCAGCAACAGCGGAATGGCATCTGGCGTCCTCTGGGATTTTTCTCTTAGAAGCTGACGGACATACAACGCCGATACAGCACGTATGACAGGAAACAATTTTTTTGCCGAGCTCCCTGGACACAACCACCATTGCCGAGGCCCAGGACGCCGACGCTGAGTTGGAAACGCTCAAAAATTTAGCGCTGCAGCTGATGCAGCTCAGGATGGATAGGCAAGATATTTTCTGTGACATTAAGGATAGCGTCGTTTGGCCGTACCTTCCAGCCCCTTTACGCTGACAGGCTTTTGATGTTGTCCACGGCCTCGCACACCCAGGCGGCAGAGCGACGGCAAGGACCCTGGCACGCAAGGTCGTCTGGCCTGGCCTACGCAAGGACACCATCGCTTGGGCTCACTCCTGCAAAGCCTGCCAACTCTTCAAAGATGGCTGTCTCAATCAAGCAGCACTTGGACGATTTACAGAGCCTGATAATCGGTTCGAGCATGTCCATGTGGATTTAATCAAATTGCCTCTCGTCGCAGGAATGCAGTACTGTTTAACAGTCATCGACAGATTCACGAGATGGCCCATGGCAGTCCCTTTGCCAAACGTGCAAGCAACTACAGTGACAAAGGCATTCCTGGACAACTGGGTCAGTTTGTACGGCACTCCACTCTACATCACGTCCGACCAGGGGCGCAATTTGAGTCGGAGCTCTTTATTGGACTCGCCAAAGCCATAGGCGCACAACTGATACACTTGACCTTATACCACCCACAGTCGAACGACATGGTGGAGAGGCTCCATCGCACCTTGAAGGCTACCCTCTGGTGCTGCCCACAGTCCTGGTTAGATTGCCTTCTCACAGTCATGCTGGGATTAAGAACGGCTTTTAAGGAGGACCTCGAGGCCTCACCAGCAGAAATGCTTTACGGCACCACTCTGCGCATACCAGGCGAGTTTCTCGTGTCTGAATCAATCCAGGTGGACAAGTCCAGCTTCGTCTCCAGCCTTCGCAGACTTTTCAGGGCTATCCGTCCTGTACCAGCGTCAAGACACTCAACAGCACACCCTTACGTGCACAAAGACGTGGAGAAGTGCTCGCATGTATTTAAAAGAGTAGACAGTATTAAAAAGCCGCTGGAACTGCCATACACAGGTCCACACCAAGTCATCAAGCGTACACAAAACATGACATATGTAATCGAAATTAATGGAGCGGAGAAGGTAGTGTCGGTTGACCAGCTGAAGCCTGCATATATTGAACCCACGGAGCCTGGCTATGCGAACCTGACTACCCAACAGCAGCCTCCAGCAACAGAATCACCTCAACAAAACCAACATCAACAACATGCACAACAACAGCCTCCAGCTTCGGATCCACCACCAGAAGCCACCAGCCCGGAATCTTCAGTGCACATAAAAGACGCACATAAATATGTTACATTCCCTCCGCTTCTTGCAAAGGTCACTGGAGGGGAAGTGGTTGTAGCGTCTCAGACCAGCCCGCCGACGATATGCCATCGTCGCAAGCAAGCGCTGGTGCCGAGGGAGGACCTTGACTAGTTCAGTCAAGCTCTTTCTCTCTCGCACGCGCTGGTGTACGGGAAACGATGCCACGCTTGATCACCGTGGTACCGCGACCGTCCTGCTTGCTCTTAGGCGCTCTCTTTACTACCACAGCTGAGGCAAGGGAAAAAGCCGGAGAAGGAGTCCAGAAGAAAAGGGACCAAGGTCTGTCTGCGCGCGGGACGCCACCAAGCCCGACGGCCTGTACGTTCTCTCTGGCCAAGAGTGCGTGCTCAAGAAAAGCCATGTATAATTATTAACATTAATCCAAGTAACATTTACATTAAGTTCTTCTTCATTATGTTATGTACAATTAGCTCATCGTTGTATCATTAAAGTAATATTAAACAAACTTGTGCGTACACACCCTTATTACTTGAATCCTCGCCCACGTGCTCGCGCAAGACTCTCAAATTATTGAGTCTCAACCCAAGACTCCCAAATGTATATACAAAATTGTATTTTCACAACGAGAAACTTGTGAAACTTTTTTTTTTTTGTTTCGAATTATAAATCTTTTGATACTTAAAAAAAAATCTGTTTATAAATATTAATATATGTATATAGAAGAAAACATAATATTTAGATGAATTCCTCTGTGAGTAGTAAAGAAAGATATACTACAGGATGGCTTTCCTTAGTTTCCTATGTACAATTATATTTTGTGTATTACATATGGATTAGAAATAAGTGTGAGATTGTATGTGATGGATGTGAGCGTGATGTTACAGATGTAATCTGCGTAGGCGGTTGGAAGTTGTTCTGAAATCACCGAAAGATTCGATGAAAGAGCAGTCTTGTACTGTCCAGCCTACATATTGTTTTTATTGTATTGTGCCGCAATATATTGCTTATTATCGTTAACTCATTAAATAATACCTGGGCGTAAGTTATTTTTAATCCCCTCAATAAAAAGAAGCTTGAAGAAAAAAAAAAAAAAAATACTTCTNTAGGTTATAACGTTGAGTTGTATGCTTTAATTTTTTAACCCAACTATGGATCCAAGACGTAGGGGATAAAAGCAGTACGCTTAATTAAGTATACATAAAATATTTTTTTTTTATTTATCTTACAGAGTTACGTAAATAAATATTGGTAATATATAATTAGTACAAAGCTGATCGTTTGATAATCGGAATTATCAAACTCTTTTAAGTAGTGTATGATTATCATCGAATTCAGAATTGTTCGATGCATTTTCTCCTGAAAATATCAATGCTAAAATAAATAAGTCATAAATTCCATCGTTGATTTTTCGTCGATACCTTGATGAATCAATGTTAATTGAATGTTGTGTCAGCGATTATTAAATTGATGTTAGTACACTTAACTTCAAAATAATGATCGTTCCATGTTAGCATTGTAAGTAGTTGAATTGCAATTCACATAAACTTTTTTTTGGGCTTATAACTAATATTATTCAGTTGATCATAAGTCCATCTTGATTCAACGCCTTATCAGTATTAATTCAACATATATCAGTACAGGATTATCAATGCACTTAAAATGATTGATTTTAATGTGTATTCAGCGTTGATATATGTTGGATAGGGTTTAGTACTATGTATTTTTTTACCTACTAGTCTATTACTAGCCAGGCACGTTGAATATGAAGAACAAAAAGATGTTATCCAGAAACCTACGTTTTAAAATGGTTAAAAGCGTTAAGTTCAACATAAGGACAATGTGTTATGTGTCAAAGAAAGTTCAGGAATGATTTTAGGGGTTAAAAAGGGGTGAAAATGGATACGTCCCGTGTTTTTTGCAATTTCACGCGAAATTTGATGTCCTACTGAAAAATGTTAAGAACAAAAGTTGTAGATCTTGCTAAAATCTACAGATTTTGTATGGGTCATTTCTTAATATAACCTCAAATTTTCAGAAAAAAATGCAAAAAATTAAATAAAATTTTTTTTTTGTTTCTTACGTGTCAATTTCTTAAAAATGAATATTTTTCAATTAAACTTGCTGAAAGTACTCTTTTTTATGTCCCTTACAAAAAAAGAATTTTAGATTGAGATATTAAAAACTGTTTGGAAGATTCATTTTTTTCGGTCCGAAACACGTTGTTTTCAAAGTTACATTTTACTACTTACAATCATCGTAGAGAGGTCATACAGGGCTCATTTTTTTTATTCTGACGTCTACTTTTCAATAAAATAATAAAACAATACAGCTTCTATTTAAAAATATGTCTAAAAATTGAAAAATATAAAAAATTTAATTTTGCAAAAACAAATTTTTTGGTTACTGCTAATAATTTGTTATAAATAAAAAAAATTGTTTGACGAATAAATTAAATCGCTAACATTGGCTGTACCTGGTTTCAAAAAGTAAATGTTTGATTTATTTGAGTTTAACTGATGCAAAAGAACCCAAAGATCGATGTCTTGACCAACAACAACAACCTTTTTTTTATATTCGATGACGCCTGCTTCTGCATTTGCGATCCTACTTTTTTCGGCAATTTCTATGGCTGTATTAATGATCAATGTATCTGCATCTTCAGCAGCTTGTTTACATAAAAATCCAGCAAATCTGAATGCTTTTGATAACTCTTTAATTAATGCATTCTTATTT